CCAGGCTGCCCTGTATGTTGCAGCCGCACGTTGAATTTTCTTGTCTTGGCGGTTAATGTGAGTTCTGGACCTGGTGTTGGGACCCTGATGCCTGGCATTCGTCTTTTTGTACCGAAGCAGCCGTTGCTTAACGAGGATTGAATTTCTGAGAAGGTTTAAAGATTCATTGAGTTGGGCATCCCGAAATTGGATTTCCATTTCAGTGACCTCTGATCTGCAAAGCTCAGATCTACGTTGTGCTGAGATGAGCATGGAGGGAAGATAGAGTGGGATCTCTTCGGAGTGGACCTGGATTTGAGATGTCGGTAGCATAGAGAGTATCTGCAAAGCAACCAGTGTGTAGCCAAGTTGTAAGGTCCGAAAACGGGTGATTTGGCGGCCCAACTTGGTGCGACGATCAACAATCTGAATTAGCTGTTTATTGGTTGGTGACCGAATAGCCTGGATGTCCTGACGTAGGTCCCTCCTTTAATTGTACAATGAAAAAAGTCCCAGAAAAATGCTGATCAAAAGAATACTCACTGCTGCTGTTCGATCTCCAGGCCCAAGTATAAGAATTCACCAAGACTGGTGTCTTGATCAGGCAGCTTGTCCTCCTCTTTATCATCATCAACCAGCCTCTCAAGTCTCTCCTCCTCACGCATCTCCTTCAACATTTTCTCCTGAGCCTCCTTAGCTAGATCCAACCGAACGGTTTGCAGTGTCTTGCCTAGATCATATCAATTAGAAAGAGGGACTTTTATAAAGGAGAAGGATAGAAGAGTGCACTTTTATAAAGGTGAAGGAGAGGAGAGTGCACTTTTATAAAGGAGAAGGAGAGAAGAGTGCACTTTTATAAAGGTGAAGGAGAGGAGAGTGCACTTTTATAAAGGTGAAGGAGAGGAGAGTGCACTTTTATAAAGGTGAAGGAGAGGAGAGTACACCTTTATAAAAGTAAAGGATAGGAAAAGAGAGGACAAAGACGGTAGATCGACTTTTATAAATAAACTGGATACCTACCATTGATTGGGAACTCGAAAGGATTGAAATCAGACCGTTGATTCTCATAATCATCTACCATCTGCTTCCATTCCATGGCATTGCTGGCTTGTTTCTTGCTGAAATCACACCAAGATTCAAACTGATCTTGATACTCTGACACAGCATTGAGCAGTCGTTTCTTCAAAAGTTGTCCTAAGTTCAAATTATTAGGTAAGAAGGAACAGTTTAGGAACAACAAATATTTACCAAGACCGTGAACCTTGGACCAGTTCCAATGTCCAATGTGATCCTCTAAGGTGTCATGGTGGGAACCAGGACCCATTTCTTTCAGACTGGTAGCCACACCACCTAAGCCAGACCATATACGTTCGATGCCTTCAGCATCAGTCTGTCCTGCCCCAGTAGTGTAGTTGAGGGAGAATTTGGTCTGACATGAGACGAGATGTCCCAGGATGTGGAGTTTGGGGATAACGAAGTAGAGAATCCGGAGAGTGACATTCAGTCTGACCAAGGGAGGGAGATTTTTAAGCCTTTCTATAAGCTTTTTGGACCATTGACAGACAATGTCGTAGCAGAGAATTAGGACAAGAAAAATGTGGATGTGTCGAAGCCAAGATGCCATGATATAGTCCATGTTCGCATAGCTGAAAGGAATTTGAAGTGATCAGAATAGTGGACCACCTTTGTAAAAGAGAAGGACAAAAAAACCCGACATTTGTAAAAGTAAAGGACAAATAACTTACCGCTCGCCAACCCGAAGTGCTCCCATGGCATTTGCCCATAACATCTCATGTCTGGGACAAGTCCCTCCCCCTTTGCCAGTCTCATCATATCCCTGGTTAAACTTTGTATTCGCATGATCCAATGCCGCCAAGCCAGTACAAGTGCACATCTGTCAGGAATTTCAGCCTATATACTTTGTTGAAATAATAGGAACTACTGCACCTCTGTTTGTTTTTCCATCCTTCGGCACCAGTCCAAATATGGCCCATTTTCCACGAAATATGCCCACCCATCTTGAAGACTTGGATCTTTTTTCCAGTTTGAGATCCTCTTCCTTTTCAACCGGAAACAGGCATCGAACGAAAGGAACATGGTATAAATAAATCTAAGATGATAAATTAGAGGATACACCTTTATAAAGGTAGATGACAAACTTACGCAATCTCTCCAGGAGCAGTGTCCCATCCCTGTGGCAAATTGACGTCTGGCCTTGGACAAGCTATGCATTTCACAGCGAGTTCTCCAGGTCGTGTCTGACTTATGTTCCTGTCCCCATCATTACCACGACCACCCCTTCTAAGCATGCGGAGATGCCTCCACTGACGAATCACGCGAAGGCAAGTAGGATAGCGTTTCTAATGGACAAATCATTAGTGTGATAACCAAATGAAAGCACACTTAATACTCACTGGGAGTTTCTTACCAGTGTTATCTGTAAGTCTTTCGATACCTCTATAATAATCAAAAGCCGTTATTTTGCCACACAAAGTGAGAATGTGAAACTGCTGTAGCATCTGAAAGGTACATGCAGTTTGAGGTCGAGTGTGGGTTGCAGGAAACCAACGAGCCCTCATTAGCTGCTCCCACTTTTGGTGTTGTGATCCAGACAATGTTGAAATGGAATTGGTACAGCCACAATAATTCAGCTCCACACGATGGACCCCATTTGTGTGGACAACCATGAACTTGGAGGGACCCCTTAAAGGGTTATCACATTCCGAACCATCCAAGTGACCAAGTTGAACAACTAAGCCAAGCCGGCGAAGAGAAACCCGTTCGAAGAACTTTCCATTCCAGGACTTTTATAAAGAGTGAGGATAACTTAGTACATTTATAAAACTGGAGGATAGTATAATTACCTGAATATGATGGAGTGGATTTGCTCGGTGACTTGCGATGCAACAATCTTGGCAAACCAGACTACTATGAAAGCAATCAAGACATCGGAGGGTCGGCAGTATTGGAACTCGATCGGGGGGACAAGTCGGACAGGACTGAACAACCTCTGGAGTTTGATCACCCCTCCCCTTCAAGCACATCAAGACCTCTAGATATTTATCTCGATGATGAACAAAAGTCCTCATGGGTCTGTCCGACGCAAACAACTTTTTCCTCCGGACTTTGCTAACTCGACCGTTCTTGACTTGAAAAACAAACTGGCCTGGGTCGGCTGTCTTCCAAGAGGGGTCCTCCTGTTCGAAGTCCACCCAATCTTCGTTGGGAATAATAGAAGTGTAGACCCTTTCCTGGAGAGTCGGGGCAATAGAGGTAGTTTTGTGATCCTGACCTCGGTAGGTTGAAGAAGAGGTATGATGGATGATCAATATATCAGTAGGTTCAGTGAAGGAGAGACCAAGATCTCCATAGGAGGTGATGTGACTGGCAGGGTTTTTGAGGTCAGTCTTGAATTTCTTCTTGGGAGGTTGTCCAGAGCCCATGGGGTTCATGAAGTAAAAATAGCGAATACATTCTAATGTAAAACGTGATCTTTTGCTGAAGTAATGTGCTTGACATTTATAAAGATACTGGACTGGATAGGGTCAAAATATATATATTGCAAACACAACATTTTTCGACATGATAGAGATCCAGCTGAATATTGGGCAAGAAAGAATTTGTACAGATTTAGATATAAGTAACAGTACATCACACCCTGCAGGCAAACTCCTGTGCAAGCTGACGATTCTGAGTTGTCCTCATCTCAGGTTGTAGGCCTTCTTTCCAGAGCTCATCGTACACTTTGAATGCAACTTGGCTAAGAATACCAGAAATTAGTTCCAAATTGAATAATAGGTAAAGATCGCACCTCGAGGAGTAGAAGTCCACACCACCAATGTATCGCACAACATAGTAGGTAGGACTTTCCTCACTGAGATCCTGAGAACTCCCTTCATCCTCCATAAATCTGGCCATCTTCACTGGGCTTCTGGATCGACTTTTGCCTTTTGTTGGACTAGAGGAGGGGGTCTCTTTTACAGGGGAGTTCATCAGCAAAAGTCCTAAGACTGATACAGATATGTATCACTAATATCAGCATAGACATTGTGTATATCCACAATGTATCATGTATTTGTACTTTACAGTATGTACTGGTACTAAACATTCTGTAATTGGGCAGTGCATCATACATCTACAAATACATCAAGTGTTCTTAGGATACAGATTGCAACATGCAATGCAGTATGAAAGTGCATGATGCAGGGTGGATGCAGACAATACATGTTGTATTTATGGAATTAAGGATGTGATATACAGAATGGAACTGAGAATATATACAGGGCTACAACTTACAACCCTTATTTTGTGGTTACACCTACTCATGGACACTTTAGATAGTAGTATCAGTATACACTGGTAGTCACAAATGATGACCCCCCACATCACCCAATCTAATCGAGTTTTGAATTGGGAGGGGGTCATCATTAATATTTTTGGCCACCAGTGTGAATACTCCATTTCCTCTGACCCCTGCCCCTATTTTGCTGCTGGATACTATGAATAACTTCATACTAACTTTATTTTTTTTTTTTGTTACTTTGGGTATTGGGAGTTGCTGTGCAGTCAGCCCTAGTGGTTACAATTTTAGCTTGTAACCTTGTACTTACCTGGGGACAAGTTAAACACTTAGAAAGGAGCTAAGAAATGAGAGGCAATAGACTGAATAATAAGTTCTGCAGATACAGGCAGTAACTACTGTTCTTATACTTATACTAATCTATTTTATTGTACTTTATACTTGGGAGTATCATTGATGGAGGCCATGTGTATAAAAAGCTCAAGTACTTCAGGCACAGCAAAGAGGCAAGAGTAAGAGACATCCTGCCATTACATGCATTTATTCATTTTATATATTTGTACTTAAAATATACATACAGGTATTGTGTAAATGCAGGATTTTTGTTGCAATTATGTAATCTGACACATGATAGTGTCCTTAGATGCTTAGCAACCCATGTTGCAATCAAGTAATCTGACACATGTTGGTGTCTTTAGATGCTTAGCAGATTTGAACCAATGACTAGATAGCTCAGTGGTAAAGCTGCTAGTACATGTCCAGGAGGTCCTGGGTTCAATCCCCAATCTGGCCACTTCTAGATAAGAGAGGGAGAGGGATCAGATGGGAGGAGGGAGTGAGCAGGAAGTGGAATGGAACAAAGAATATGCCAGTGGATTATTTTATTAGTGTACAGAAACAGTGGCTTCTAAAACATTTATGTAACTGTCAAGTATTATGTATTGATAAAAGCATTCTGTATTCATATATACATCTATGATTTACTGATACATAATAAGTGGTCAATTTCAGGTTCACCTACTGGATACATACATGTATTTGTTAGTAAACCATTACATATATATAAGACTATTACGTGTATGTATCTGACTTAGGACTTTTGCTGATGTTACCACGGCTCTTGGGAAGGGAAGGAAAATAAGGACGAGGTGAGCCAAAGGCAATCAAGTCGGCTTGGGAAGGCAATTTTTTCCGAGTTGGAGTTAGGGGGACACCTTCAGGGGTTGGTGAGTAAGGGACTGCATTTGGAGGGGGTTGGGGAGAGAATGGGTTGACGAAAGGATGCTTTTCTTCATCAGGGTGATCGTGTGTTTTTTCACAGTAGTGAGCCCAAGTTGATAAAAGGGTGTCTTCGGACTGGTACCCTTTTGGAACCTTTTGGCCAGACTTGGTTGCAAGACGAGAGGCTAATTCACTGATGTGGATAATCACTTCAGTTAGAGGGCACGATCAAAAAGAAAGAAGTTTACAAGTCTTTGTAGATTCCAGAGTGAACTCCATCTGTGATCAAATAATACTTGTATTTCTGGCCTTTTTTGCCATCAGGAGGAAGAGAATCGTCGTACTTTGGTGAGCAACCACGAAAAGCAGAAAAAGTGTTGTCCATCTGGAACAGTTGGAAGAGACACGTCTGAGACTACACGTGATGGATGTTGAAGTTAGCGTGAATCGATGGCTGGAGAGTTGTCTATAACCTTTAGAAAAGTGTGTTTTGTCCATGCAATTGTCTATGACTTTTATAAAAGTGTACATCGTAATAATGAGGAATGAATAGGTATGATGTCATCATAAGGAACAGATACAGATAGGGGCTTCATAAGTCGTAAGTACTTATACACAACGCTTAAGTTCAATACTGAGTATGGTTAAGTTCTCATTAAGTTCAGTGTGACTATGGTTAAGTTTAATGTATAAGTAAGTAAAAAAAAAGGAGCAATTGCTATAACTGGCACATTGATATAACGACAAGTACTCACATAACACTGATTAAGTTTATAAACAATAAGTTGTAGGCACATACACAACACTCCAGTTCAATTTGAGGGTGATTAAGGTTAAGTTTAATGTGTAAGTAAGGAGAAAACAAGCAATCACTATTAGATATAACACCTTGATCAATGTACGGTGTTAAAGTTTGAACGAAAACTCCATAAGTACTTATACCTTACAGTGTGAACGAAAACCCCATAAGTACTTACACAACACTGTTTGAGTTCAATAGCAAGTAATTACTTTATTATTATTAAGAGATAGTATGTAGTAGGATGTTCATCATGTTCGATAATCATCTAGCAAGTGCTATGTTATTCAATGTTAAATAAGTGTTCAAACTTCACTTCTGGTCAACATCTAAAGATTATCATAAAAACTCTGACACGATTCAAAGAATAAGATCTCTTAAAAATAAATGATTTCTGATATTAACTACTGAACCACATACAAAGCTTTCAACTCGGAAATGGTGGAATACATGTTTAAGTCTACATTAATACGTTCTCTTTGCTTCTTCTCAGCCTCTTTTCTATCCTCCTTAGTCATTTGAGTCCTCATCTGAAACCCATCCTGAACATACCGAAAGATCGATCCAGCTGTATACTGAGTAAAGGAATACCTAGTCTCCCCTGGGCTGATGCAAGTGTTAGAGTGACGAATATAGGAAGAAGGAATTAAGATAGTCCATCCAGGAGGAAACTCGAGAACTAGCTTAAGATCCCATAAAACAATATGCCCTCCCTTCTTTGAATCGAAATGTCCAAGGGCAGTAATGCCACACCAGCCAGCTATGTAATTTAAATGATCAAGGTGTTCAAGAGCGACTGTTTGGGGCCCAAAGTTGTAAGTAGCACAGCAAAACACAGAGTTCGAGAAGTTGAAAAAAAGGGAAGGATCATGGGCTTTGAGCTGCTTTGTGACCTCTCTATAATAATCGAAGAGCCTAGGGGACCAATGGGCAAATGCAGCCGACATATGCCCCGCAATTCTAATGAAAGCCTTCTCATTTCGTAATCGATTGAGTGCTGCACGGTTTCGTTTAGAGTGATATATACGTTTTACTTTCTGAATGTATACATAGAGTTAATAAAATGAAACACAAGGAAAAATATTCAACATACGGTCTGCCCTCCTCCACAAGAGAGACCATCAGCTTTGAGTAGGTAGTTGCCCCGACGATGAGCCTCTTCTTTCTCCTTGAAAGTAATCCCTGAACGCTTCTTCTTTTGCTGGTTAGCCTTCTCTCTTTCCAATGCAGAAGTAGCTTCTTCGTTCATCTTTCCAGCCCATTCTTCGGTAGGGGGAGGAACCATACAGCCAATAACTGTCTCTGATTTGTCGGTTATTGGGTTGGGGGTGCAACTTTTATAAAGGTGAGGATAAATACATGTCGAACTTTTACAAAACTCGAGGACAACTTACCTATCACCGATAGGGACATATGTGAAGCCCAGACCACCTGACCCACAAAGTTCCTCGACAGTCCAAAGCTTTCTTTTGGCCTTATTCTCTTTAGTTATGTAGTCTTTTCCAAGATATCCAGAGGTGGAGTTAAGCATATCATTGCCGTCATGCTTAACCGATATAGGGGACGACTTTTGTAAAAGTCGATGACCGACGGTGGCACGTGCACTATAGTTTGAGCCGTCTCTCTGATTTTGCCGATGCTTTGCCCTAGAAACATGTCCACGGCGAGTAGCCTTCTTTGGAAGGTTTGTCGGGATGGTGGAGGAGAGATCATTGGTATTGGACTCTGGGCTGGATTTTGATTTTTTTTTTTTGCTTCGGCGAGTCTTGCGCTTTCGTTTGACTCCAGGGTGTGGGCTTTGGGATTGAGATGGAGAGCTGGAGGAAAGAGGGGAGAGGGTTGATAAATCGGACACCGATGACTCAAATGACGACACAGATGCCTGGTCATCTTCGGCGTTCACAGGTGGACAGTCCTGGATGTCCTCAAAGTCTTGGGATTGCAGCTCATGCTGGTCCAGACAAGTCAATACAGTAGTTAACAAGTCAAAATCCGGACCAGCTGAAAGAGAGGATCCATCCCAAGAGGCAAATTGTCTGCCTGAACGCGTCTACATTGAAGCTTGTCAGCATGGTATAGTACAAAAAAAGAAAGTATAACCTTCCGTGTAATACCAAATTCACCTCAAAGAAAGACATTTCAGTTTGGTACAAATCAACTCTGGGGCTTGATAAAGAAAATAGAAAGGTTTGCTATGAAAAGGCTGTATTGAGAAAAGTGCTCACAAACGTGCCCAGGCTTTGAGTACAGGATGGAGCTACTATTCCTCATTACAGCAATAGAAAACAAAGGGAGGGGGAAAAAAAAGAGATGAAAAGACCGTAAAGCTCACCTGTCATTGATAGATGGTTGAAAGTGTTGTGAGGCGCGTCGCGATTCATGACTGAATATTGGGTCACGTGATAGTCGCTTTGTCCGGTGACTTTTCAATTACTCGACTTCTTGTTCGACACTTTTCTAAAAGTCTACCATACCTACTTTTATAAAACTCACGACAACTACTCGCTCCCTGATTTCACCAATGGCTAAGGGGAGAAAATCCTACAAGGCTGTCCCTCGCGATAAACAGAAGAAACGCGGCCCATCTGGCTACTTCAGCGGTGAGCCACTCCAGGTCCTGAACACGTACCTCCCGGAATACGTCGAGTCTTTCAAGAATCGGACTACTTTTTGGTCGAAGTTTTGGGGCAATTGGAGGACTAGGTATCCACCAAAATTGTCGGCCTCGGAGCAGAAGGAAGTCAATCGAATTCTCACCAAGTATAAGTTGCACGAAAGAGGAAAGAAGGAAAAGAAGGGAGGAGAGAAGGAAAAGAAGGGAGGAGAGGAGGAGGAGGAGGAGGAGGAGGAGGAGGAGGAGGAGGAGGAGAAACAGCCGGATGAAGACACTGCTGCAAAAGAACCCAATACATCTACCTCTACTGCTAAAAAACCCGACGCGTCTACCGCCACTGCCAAAGAACCTGACGCGTCTACCGCCACTGCCAAAGAACCTGACGCGTCTACCGCCACTGCCAAAGAACCCGACGCGTCTACCGCCACTGCTAAAGAGCCTGCCACTTCTAAAGAACCCGACACGTCTACCTCCACTGGACAACCTGACGCGTCTCCCTCCATTGCGAAAGAACCCGACGCGTCTGTCTCTGGACTTGACGCGTCTACCTCGACTGCTGCGGAACCCGACGCGTCTGCCTCCATTTCAAAAGAATTTGACACGTCTTCCACTGTTCCGGAACCCAATTCCACTACCACTGCTGCCCAAGAACCCGACTCATCCCCCTCCGCTGCCCAAGATTCCGCTACCCAAGAACCCGACTCATCCCCCTCTGCTGCAAAAGAATCCAATGTGTCTCCCTCCACTGCCAAAGAACCCAGCGTCTCTATCTCCACAGAAAAACATCTTGACGCGCCTCCCTTCATTGTCGATACGTCCGCCTCTGCTACTGAACCTGACGCGACTGCAAAAGAACCCCAGAACTCTACCTCCACTATTACTGAGCCCTCTGTCCCTACAAAAACGCCCAAAGCGTCTACCTCTACGACAAAAGAAAGCCCCAATACCCCTACCATCGATCCCTCAGCCCAGTCCAAAAAAGGCAAGGGAAAGGCAAAGGAGACGGAGCCTGAGACTGATGACGATGAAGAGGAAGATCTTCCCCGAAAGCACAAAAAGCAGAAGAGGCTGGAAAGGACCGCAGAAGAAGATGAGTTGTTGGCAAGAGCGGCTAGCGTTAAGGTTAGTTATCCTGCACATTTATAAAAGTCACGCAACT